GACTCCCGTACCCGTAGCCTCGAGACATCAATATACGGCTACCGTACCCGTAGCCACTGCCTTTATGGAAACGCTTCAAGTACCGCTCATAGGGTCTATGTCCCCCAGGGTACTGCCGGAACGTACCCTGGTCACTATTTGATATGGTTAGGGTTAGGATTAGGGTTAGGGTTAGGTTTAGGGTTCGGGTTCGGGTTCGGGTTAGGGAGTAGGCGTAGGCGACTCCCTAGACTCGTTAGTGGAGTAGGCTAGGTACGGTCCGGCATATAATATAGTACCAGGGTACGTTCCGGTAATACCCTGGGTACGGTCCGGTAACTATCAGCGGGACACATAGGTACCTGGGTACTGGGACACATAGGTACCGGGACACATAGGTACCGGGACACATAGGTACCTGGGTACTGGGACACATAGGTACCGGGACACATAGGTACCGGGACACATAGGTATGACCCCATCCCCATCGCGTGTATCAACGTAGAAGACAGGCCTATTGCACATCGGATATCTTAAGTCTCGTGATGGAAGGTAATATAAGGTCGAATTAACAAAGGAAACCGAAATTAGAAGTCAGCATTACAGATAACCTAGATAAGATAATAATTTAATTGTTCGTCCGGCTCTCTTATTTATCTAACTGGAGGATTTTACCGGGTAAAGGTGATATCCATCCCATTAACGTCCCAGTGTAAGGATGCAGGACACATATTGTTACAGATTGCGTCGACTGATCATTAAAAATCGGGGAAACGTCGGCAAGACAAGTTTCCCAAGGACGCGCAATCAGACTTGAACACCCCCAGACCGCTAGGCAGAGTATTAACCGCTAGGAAGCCTCTACTCGCAGCCCCAAATGAGATCGCCCACCGGCTGTCATAGCATGGCAACGATTAACCATAATTATACGTCGCTGCTCGCAGTTTTTTATTTGTTGTGAAAACACCGTTGGCCATATATCTCGCTCTCGCACAGGGACAGACGCGCAAGCACGCGGCCGGATCATGACTACGTGAAAAAAAACAGATACGAATCAATATTCGTTGCCATGGCAACCGCGCTCGCTCCGCCGTCCATCTCATTTATAGATATTCAGCGACCTGTTCTATATTTAGCGTAATAGGCAAATAGGTCTCAAGGTATGAGATGAATGCAGTGCATAGCCCGTGAGATGAATGCAGCTATTCACTCTCACTCACTGAGCAAGAGATGAGTAAGTATGGTGCCTTGTTTCTAGTATTTCTGTCGAATATCCGTCGAGACTGTATAGACACGCGGTCCGGTATCGATTGAGGGACGAATGTACGGAGAAAAACAACGTCAGTCTACGACAGCCAAGACGCGCGCGGGGAATGACGGGATCGCTTATTTCAGCCGACGCATTCGGCGGTGTCCCCCCACCCACGTTTTGTGCCGATGTTTTTTTTCTGCGACCTTTTACGCGAGCGCTGCGCCATCTGCTCGCGAATTAGAGATACGCTCACCTTTACATGGGGAAAAAAGAACGTTCGCGCAGTTGCGTTCATAGATAGAAAACGTCGGTGAAACGCATAAAAGTACGGCACGTGTTGCGGCCGACATTCTGTGCACGGACTAGCGAACCGACGTTGCGTGGATCAGGCGAAAATATTGGGGATTTAAAGCAGCGAGTTTGTCGTAAGGCGACACGCCCAACGATTTATCGCGGTAAACGCGGCCATGTCGTTTCAATTCAACGCAATGCGCGTATCATTGCTAGAATGAGCACACACACACTCGCGCGCACACACACACACACACACACACACACACACACACACACACACACACACACACACACACCACACATACACACAACACACACACACATATACACCATCACACATGAACACACAGCACACATACAACACACACACACACACGACACACACAGCACACACACAGCAACACACACACATACAAACCACACACACATACAGCACACAAACACACACAGCACACACACACACACACAACACATACACACACATACTAGCAGCAGCACACAGCATTAGCACACACACACAACACAGCACATGTACAATAAACACACACGACACACACACACACACCACAAACACACGACACAACATAGCACACACCACATACACATACACATACACACCCG